GCCTGGGGATCCAACACAGAGGAAATCCAGGTCTCCATCTGGAAGCGGAGATCTAAACAGCCACCGCAAGCCTCTTCCTCAACAGCTTTGGGTGTCGTGTATTACTCCAAATGCCGTTTTCGTGTTCGCCACCTTGGGGATCCTCTATGGGTGGAGAGGCGGTTTTAACATGCTTTTAAATAAATGAACAACTGCATGACAGGCAGAGACTCAGCAGGGGATGCTTCTCCCAGCAAAAAAAAGGTTCACCAGCTGAATGCTGACCCTGCACATCCCAGCCACAAAGCCTCCTAAGCAACGGAACCGACTCCCTTTGGCCAGCGAGTTCCCAAGAGGGTGGGGGCTTGTTCAGGCAGAAGACCGTACCCTCCGAGACAAACATCTCTCCTGGCCCTGCTCCTCTGCCTTTGGCAGCAGCCCCATGGGCAGGAAACGCGCGAGTGTGGCTTTTTCCATTAAGAAATGGCAGTTTAAGGGGGCTGCCATCTAGGGGGAAGAGTTTCGGGGGGCGGGCGGAGAAACTGTGGGAGCTTTGCAGCAGAGGACAACCAGCCCTGGTCGGCTCCTTCTCAAAGGAAAGAGAAAGACATATTTTTTGGGGGGAGGGGAATCAGCCAAGAGCACTCCCCAAGGACGAGGCTCGCTGTGGCAGGGCAGCTCTGTGCAATTATTCTCACGTCAGCCCCGTTGCTGTATAAAGTGTGTGTACAACAGGAGGCTCCTTCCCTAGTATACTGCACAGCAAGCAGTAAGGTGGTGGGGGTGGCAGGCGTCTCGCCCCCCCCCCCCCCGTGTTCTCTTGTTTAAGGCGGTATTTCCCCAGGCCCAGTTTCTTCCAGACCTTGGAGATGCTGGAAGAAAGGGGGAGACTTGAAGTCCCTTCACCTACACCCTTCCATTTATGTTACAGACAGACCTCTCAACCACTCTGTTTGGCGTAGCGGTTAGGAGCGCAGACTCTAATCTGGGAGAACCGGGTTTGATTCCCCACTCCGCCACATGCAGCTGCTGGTGTGACCTTAGGTCAGTCACAAGTTCTCTCAGAGCTGTTCTCTCTCAAAAGAGCTCTCTCAGCCCCACCTACCTCACAGGGTGTCTGTTGTGGGGAGGGGGGAGGGAAGGAGATTGTAAACCGCTCTGAGACTCCTTCGGGTAGTGGTGGGGATATAAATCCAGTCTCTTCTTCTTCTTCTTCTTCATTTTATAGGTGCATCTAGAACCATGCGGTTGCCTTTAAGATGCCTAAATTGGGAGACTGGGGAGGAGGGCAGAGGGCGAGTCTGGATCCAGGGGGCCCCAGATTAGGTCCTTCCACGTCCATGAACTGAGGAGTCGGCCTCAGGTAAGACGCCTTCTTGGTCTCGCGCCCCTGCCCCCCAGCACCTGGAAATCTATATACTACCAGCCACCCATGCCCCTCATCTGTGGACAGCTCAACCCATGGATCAGGGCCTCGTAGAGGCTAAGCAGATGGTTCTGCACACTTAGGGGACTCCCCAGGTATGCAGAAAAACCTGAAATGGTTAAAAACTACACGGGGAGGGCTTCAATTCCTCCGGAAGTAAAACAGCATTCTTGGCACAAGTGCAGCGAATAAACTTACCTCCAGCAGTTGAAGGAGGTTGGGAGCTGTACTGGGTCCAGTGGTGGCAGCAGTGTTCCCTCTAAGCTGAGTTAGTGTGAGCTAGATCACAGTTTTTTAGCCTCTGGCTCGCACATTTTTGTCTTAGCTCAGGAAGGAGGGCTCCAGAGCAAACTAATTTATGCAGTAGCTGAATCGCTCACTCACAACTTCAATGCCAGTAGCTCACAAAGTGGAATTTTTGCTCACAAGACCCCACAGCTTAGAGGGAACATTGGGTGGCAGCACAGCCCGAGAGCCCTCTTGGGCCCGGCAGCAGCGGCACTGTCCAGGAGCCGCACAAGACACGCTGCTGCTCTCTGTGGCTCATCTGCAGCAGCTCCGGGGGAATCAGTACAGTCTACCCCACCCCCACCCCCTCCATGAGCCACAAAGAGCTGGGAAGGGGAGACCATGCTGGTGCACCTGGAGCTGGTCCAGGCAAGCCACAGAAAGCCGTTGGGCAGCCCGGGGCGGCTCAGGAGGGGGGGGGGGAGATGGGATTCCCCCCCCACCGTGAGTCTCATGGGCCTCCACTTGTCAGTTATATTTCCAAATCTCCAGGACTTTAAGATGGTAGCCCTGCACATGACCTACTGGAACAGTGGCCTGTAAGCATCTAAACAGTACAAGCACTATATAAATCCCGAACATTGCTAGTACTGTTTTCTGGATCCCCTGAGAGCGTGGGTGCTGTTGCTCTGGTGGTGTGTGCCCGGAGGCCACAGCATCTCTGAGCACCAGCCATGGTGGTTTCAGCGAGCGGCTGGGGAAGAAAGGCCGATACCTGAAGGTGGCCTGTTTCCCAGCGCTCACAAAGGACAGCTTCACCATTCCGGCTGAAGAGCAAACTTCAGACATTTAATTCTGGGTACAAGCTCACCTTGTGTGTGTGTGCCCCCAGAAGCTCACACCCAGAATTGAACGTTGTTGGCCTTAAAGGCGCCACAGTTGGCAGACCAACTGTGGTGACCCCACTGAATCTGCTGTTACGGGGTTAGCAATTTTACCTGAGCATGCTGCCAAGTGAAAGACTGGAAGATAAGGTGCTCCAGAATGTGGCAGGCCTCACAAGGTTGCCACGTAGAGGCACGTTTCGAAGAAATGCTCGTCGTGCAATAATGACAGGTTTGGAAAAAATCCACAGTGGTGTCTTTATCACATCACGTAAAAATGAGAATCTGGCTGAACAGTTTGCCAAACGACTGCAATGAGACAATCTTTGTTTGCCAATTAAGTCAATAGTACCTAGCAGTTCGAAAGCAAGAAATTGCAAGTAGATAAATAGGTACCACTTCAGTGGGAAGGTAACAGCGTTCCGTGCGCCTTGGTGTTAGTCATGCCGGCCACATGACCACGGAAACGTCTTTGGACAACGCTGGCTCTTCGGCTTTGAAACGGAGATGAGCACCGCAACCCTAGAGTCGGATTCGACTGGCTTTCGAGCAAGGGAACCTTTACCTTTTATCAGTGAAAAGCATTGTGCATATAAATGGCGGTGTAAACTGTATAAGGAGCTGCGGTGGCTCAAGTGGTTAAGACGCTGAACTGCAGGCTGTGGAAGGTCAGTAGTTCAGCAGTTTGAGACCCGAGTGCCGCATGACGGAGTGAGCTCCCGTCTCTAGTTCCAGCTCCTGCCAACCTAGCAGTTCGAAAGCGAGAAACTGCAAGTAGATAAATAGGTACCACTTCAGTGGGAAGGTAACAGCGTTCCGTGCGCCTTGGTGTTAGTCATGCCGGCCACATGACCACGGAAACGTCTTTGGACAACGCTGGCTCTTCGGCTTTGAAACGGAGATGAGCACCGCAACCCTAGAGTCGGTTTCGACTGGCTTTCGAGCAAGGGAACCTTTACCTTTAAAGGCATTAGCAGGTACTGTGCTTTTTAAAGTCACCTCCTAATTTCTATAGATCAGGTGGCAGTTAAAGGCTCTGGAAGTACAGCTGCCAACCTCCAGGTGGGGCCTGGAGTTCTCCTGGAAATACAACTAAGCTCCAACCTACAGAGATCCATTCCCCTGGAGAAGATAGCTGCTTTGGAGGGAGGACTCTGTGGCATCACACTGCTGCTGACCTCCCACCCCTTCCCAAACCCCACCTTCCCCCACGCAATGCCCTCAAATCTCCAGGAATTTCCCAACCTAGAGGTGGCAACGCTCACTGGAACAGACCACACAAGGCCTCTTATCTGATCAGCCGGCAACACCCATTGGATCAGCAGAATCTTCCAGCCTTGTGTTTTGCAACTGCTCCAGAGCAGACACCTGTCTTCTGGGCTGGCTTTTTTAATTGAGAAAAGGTGTTCAGTTCCATTATTGGCACAAGACGGAAAACAGGATGGAGTCTGCCCTCATTTGTTCAGCTGACGCCAGCAAGATTCTTTGATCCCGTTTGCCAGGCACACTTCTCTGATTCAAAGACATTCCCCCCCAGTCCTTTTTCCATTAAAGTGGATATAATAGTGACTAAAAATAGAGACGGTAAATAACAGAGCTTTGATTTATCACTTTCATATCTTCAGCCAATTAACTAAAATATGCACCTTTTGGATGCCTGAAAAATACTTCTTCTGCCTGCAAGTTTTAGAAGGGCACAAAACCAAGAGCAAAGAACAGAAGGGGGGGGGGCTCAAAGAGAACCCCAGAGGTCTCTGACTCACAGTGCAATCCTGTGCAGAGTTACACTAGTCTAAGGCCACTGAAATCAATGGGCTCATTCTGGAGTGACTTTGTTTAGGACTGCACTGTCGGTCACCTCCGGAAGCAAACCAGCGACACCAAATTCTTTTTAAAAATACTTTCCGCTTCCTTTTTAACTTTAATAAGCCGCTGAAATACATAAACAGGCTATCGAAATCAATGGAACTGACCGCAAACGCACATACGAAAAAAGTTTCAGGTGGGTAGCTGCATCAGTCTATAGCAGTAAACAAAATTCGAGTCCAGGGGCACGCCCATCCCGCTCCGAATCTGTTGGGCTACCTATACTAGACCACGCCTGCGTATTCGTTCCATGCATCCATCTGCAAAAAGTCTTGTTGACACTCGGGAGAAAAGACACCCAGCAATGCTTCTTAGTTGGGAGATTCGGGTGGGCAGCCATGTTGGCCTGAAACAACAGAATAAAGACCAACAAAGTTTAATTCTGGGTCTAAGCTTTTGCGTGCATGCGCAGTAATTCAGATACAGACGTGTACCTGCACATGAAAGCTTGCACTCAGAATTAAACTTTGTTGGTCTTGAAGGTGGCCCAGGACTAAAACTTTGTTCTTTTTGTTGGGAGATCAGTCTCCCCTGTGGACCAATCCCCCCCCCACCATTCACTTTGGGCCTCTGGCAACTGCCCTACCTCACCACCCTCTGTTAGAAAGTGGACTTACCAGTATTGGCCTCGTAGTCTCCAATAAATCTCTTTGTGAGAAAGCGGACAATCAAGGCTGCAAAACAAGGATCCAGGTTAGGGTCTGAAACAGCTTGCAGGTTTCAAGGTGTCATTTAAAAATTCTCTTTGCCTCCTCCAAATATTCCTGGATCTCATCAGCGCTTGAGGAGGACACATGAGTTCAGCAGTGAAGAGTCCTCAGAACTGGACCCAGGCAAGGAGACAAGAGACCCACAGCAAAGGGCGCGTAGCCTCTCGCACACATGCACCGTTCTGTAAACATTCTGTGACGGAGGGGGCATCCCGTCCAAGAAAGCTTTGGCTGGAATAAAGTCCCGTTAATCTTTAAAGTGCCACAAGACATCTGTTTATTTTCACTTACTTCTTCTATTATTATCTTACTCTTGAACTGTCAAACCCTCCATTAAAACAACCCCCCCCAAAAAAACCCTAGATTTGATTTTTTGGGGCTGAGCCATCCATTTTCCAGCAGCAGATGTCTACTTGCTGCAAAGTAGAGAATTGACTTCCGGGGCTCGTTCATGCACACTTCTATATAATATACTTATGTGCAAGACTAGATCTAATGGGTGGAAATCACAAGGGAGTCGTTACCGACTAAATATCAGGAGAAACTTCCTAACTGTAAGGGTGGTTGAGCAGTGGAACAGACTGCCCCGGGAGGTGGTGGATGCTCCTTCGTTGGACGTTTTCAAGCGGAGGCTGGACGACCATCTTTTGGGTATGTTGTAGGGCTATCTTTCGGCTGTGCTCCTGCAGAGTGCAGGGGGTTGGACTAGATGACCTGCAAGGTCCCTTCCAACTCTAACATTCTATGATTCTATGAAATATATGCTGGCCATACTCTAGGGTTACCATATTTTGAAAAGCAAAAAAGAGAACACATTTCCCGACTACTTCAAACAAGTGATCACTATGACAAATCTCCTTTTCAATACCCCTACTCCTTAAGTGGTGGTAACAGCTACTAACTAGGAATATTCCTAACTTTTCAACCCCAAAAGAGGACATTTTCATCATTAAAAAAAAGAGTCCGAAAGAGGACAGACACACACAAAAACCCTAGTCATACTCACATGCTGCTTTTTAAAGCATACACTTCAAAAAAAGCATGGTGGGCAGAAAAACCCTCAGAATCTCTTGAAATGAAGCTTTGAAGAAAAATGAATCAGAAGATTTTACTTTTAGATTCCTTGTCCCTGGCCTTTTTGACTGTAACTGTCAAGGCACACTGTGAACCCTTTTACAAATGCATTTCCAGTATTACAAGGGCTAGAAACTTAATTTTTTTAAACAATTAATATCCAAAACTCTCTGGGATTTGACAATAGCCCATAAATCAGAGAAATTGTCTCCCAAGCCCTGATCAATCAATTTCTGTGAAATATGAGAAATCGTTTTAGGTCTACAATATGACAATCACATTAGGGACGTACAGCAAATTAAACCACAAATACTACTGATTTTAGTAGAATTATTCATGAGATGTTCTATCTGTCTGGAACAAAGTTTGAGTCCAGTGGCACCTTAAAGACCAACAAAGTTTTATTCAAAGTCTAAGGTTTTATGTGCATGCACACTTCTTCAGATACAATGAAATGGAAATGATCAGTCCATACATATAGGTAGAGGGTGAGCTGTATATTAGCATACAGCATAATGAAGATGTTTTATGGATTCAAGGAGCAATCAGGAATAACAAGCTTACTTTATATGGTTACCATATGTTTGGGTTTAACGGGGGGAGGACAGTGAAAGAAAGAAATATCTCAGAATTGGAGACTGATGCCAAATGCATCCTTAATTCTGGGATGCTGGGAGTAATTAACTGAGACCCTGCCATTACGCTCCATCCAGCTCCTCTCAGCATGGAGGTGACATTATGGCTGTTTAGAGTTATATCCTCTGTCCCCAAACCAGAAAAATCCACTCCAATCTACTATGCCAAATTACATTACATTCTACTATTCACTATGTTACATTACAATCTACTATTGTAATCTGTTATTCCAAATAAGAAATAAAATAAAATAAAATAAAGAGGATGTATGGCCCTTCTGGGGGATTGGTGAGAATACAGATGTAAGGGCTGAATGAGGTTAGCATATGTAGTGAGATAAGAAACCAATATCCCTGTTAAGTCCTGGGGATTCCACTGTTCAATCAGTCAATTTTTATTATGGTTCATGACCAGCACATTTCAATTTAAATGAATTATGCCAAAATTGAAAAGCTTTTAAGAAAGAAACAACAGTGAAATTTACAAAAATGAATAAAAACGCTATAATTTTTTTTAAAAATCAAGACTGATGCATGAAAGTTAGACCATGGAGAACACTTATTTCATGCCCTGAATACCATCTATAATAGTTCCTTGTGAATTCTATAGGCTGCAGCAAGGCATCTGAAGCAAACATAAGATGAGGAATTGCATTAGTTAAAAACTTCATAGTTATTTCTAATGTAGGGCACGCAGGAAACCTGCCAAGCAAAGGTTGTAAGTTCTTCACACAAATTTCCTGATTAAAAACAGCAGTGAAGCCGAATATGCTCGATTGTCTCAAACGTGCCTGCTCCACAAGGGCAGACCCTCTCAGCCACTGGAATCTTTTTGTAACATCCCTCGACAACTGCAGAGGGGAAGATTCCATTGTTCTGAGTGTTGTAGTAAATTGCAACTCAGCAATTTCCCTTTCCAGCCTGTCCCTGAATTTCCTTTGCAATAAAACAGCAACTCTGAGGTCACCCACTGAATGCCCTGGAAGGCTGAAGGGTTCTCCTATGGATTTCTCTGTCCTGTGATTCTTGACGTCAGATTTGTGTCCATTTATCCTCTGGCGTGGGGTTTGACCTGCTTGCCCAACACGCTACCAACCTGAATCTATCTATCTGGAGTTATTCTGAGAGTTCAAGTGTAATAAATAATTTAATGTAAGCCCCTTGTTGGGTTGTGAAAATGGATTTTTGAGCAGCGTTAAACTTCATGCTGAAGCCGAGGTGGCTCAGAAGTTAAGATGCTGAGCTGCAGACTGGAAGGTCGGTAGTTCGGCAGTTCGAGACCCGAGTGCCACATGGTGGAGTGAGCTCCCCTCTCTGGCCCCAGCTCCGGCCAACCTAGCAGTTTGAAAGCAAGAAATTGCAAGTAGATTAATAGGTACCACTTTGGTGAGAAGGTAACAGTGTTCTGTGCGCCTCGGCGTTTAGTCATGCCAGCCACATGACCATGGAAATGTCTTCGGACAGCGCTGGCTCTTCAGCTTGGAAAAGGAGATGAACACCACCCCCTAGAGTCGGATTCGACTAGCTTTCGAGCAAGGGAAACCTCTACCTTTACCTTAACTTCATTCTACACAGATCTTCTCAGTCCATTAAGAGTAATTGCAAAGGGCAGTTGTAGATTTATTAACCAGAAAAAAATTCACATGATTGAAGTAGAAAGGGATCACAGGCCGGCCCTTTTGGATTTAAGTTAACAAAATAAACCACTCTGTCAGCTGCCAAGCTCCAGGTTAAATCTTTGCTGCGTTATTTACACTTCACACTTCTTGCCTTTCCGGCTCTACTCCAGGGGCCCTCAGCCTTTTGAAGCCTGCGAGGGACTTTCGAACTCTGGCACAGCACGGTGGGCGAAGTGAGAAAATGGAGGCTGAGCCAGCCACAAAATGGCTACTGCGGCACAACTTCAGTCCCAGAGTGGAGATCTGTCTGCTGTGGTGGCAGCTGCTGCCAAAGCAACATCTTAAAAAATCTGCACAGCCAATCCGAAGCCTTGCTGGGCAGAAGCCCCACCTACTTTTTAGAAACACTTGGTGGCTGCCAGACAGGGTCGCCAGGTCCCTGGGGGGGGGGCTTACCAGGAGCAGGACGGAGGCTCAGGCCACGTCTCTGGTGACGTGGTGGTGTCTGCTGTCATCGTGCGGGGTTGTTGCAGCGACACTCTGGTCTTTGGGCAAAAAGGGTTCTGCCATAGAGTTCTGCCCAAATACCAGAGTGGCGACTGCACGATGACGTCGCTTCCAGTACACGCTGGAAGTGTCACTGCCCCTTCACCAGCCGTGTAGCTCCTGGGCCTCCCTCCTGCCCTGGGTCAGACCCGCCAGGGGCCCACTCGTCAGCAGAAAGGGTGGGACCCAGGGGGCAGGCTGGCAACCCCAGTGCCAGGAAAGGTGTTGGCAGGCTGCCATGGTGCCCACAAGTGACCCCCGCTGTACTAAATGGCGTTCCCCCCCAGAGCTGTTCACCCCAGATGACTGGCTGGAGGACACCATCTACATGACACAAATGACCTTCATTTCCCAACCTTACCACCACGATCCCAGGTCTCTGTTTTCCTTGGGCACTGTGGACAGTGTTATTTTTTTCCTCCTTCCCCCCCCCTTTCTTTTCTTTTTCTGTAGTCACGTAGGTGTAACAAAAACCAATAAAACTACCCTGTTTTCAGGGGATTAAAAACCAAAACAAATCCCTATTCATGCGACCTCCTGAAACGGGTACTTCCTGAAAGCGCACCTTCTAAGGCAAAGTCAGGTACCCCCAGCCCTGAGTTCGTCTTGCAATGTTAACTTGCGGTGGAGAATCCTTGAGCGGAAGGGGGCGCCCCAGCCCTCACGTGCCCACCGATCCTCCCACGAAAATGCCTCCCCACAGCACAGGGTTGCCACTCTGGGTTGGGAAATTCCTGGGGATTTGAGGGTGGAGCTGGGGAGGGGACTCAGAAGGGATGTGACGCCACCCTCTGAAAATGCCAGGGTTTTTTCCAGAACTGTCGTCTGCAGATCAGCTGAAATTCCAGGAGAGCTCCAGACCCCACCTGGAGGTTGGCAACTTTACCCCCACATTCCTGGGAATAGCCCGCTTTTGCCCAGAGGCCACAGAGGTCAGCCAAGCTGGGTAATCAGTGGGCACAGGGAGGGTTAAACAACCCTCTTCCAGACAGGTGGTTTCCCCTGAAAATGCCACCCACAAAAACTTGTGCTTGCTGAGACAGCAGGTATGCCCCCCCCGCCCCAGTTTTCAACCTGTTTTCCAAAAAAT